ATCAGAACTTTTTTAAATTCCGCATTAATTGAACAACGGCAACAGAAAGAGAACTTTGATCTTAATCCTCTGAGCTCTGTGAGCGCTAACCTGGAAGCTGCTGCTGCTGCAGTGCATGCTGGGACAGCTGTCAGTCTGGAGGACGGACAGGTCTGCTCTGATGCATGCTGGGTAAAGAGGGAGGGGCCAGAACAACGTCCAGGGACTGTGTCTGTTCTCCTTCTGCTGTTCTAGTGAATTGGAACAGCACTAGGGCTGAGGATGATGGCGTTTCACGAGAACGCACAAGTACACAGATTGAGAAAAGGTGTGAGTTTGGGTTCAGGTTGGGGTTACTGTCAGGCACAGAAAGGGTTAAAATGGTCCTCACACATATAGGAAGAACAGAGTGTTTAATGTTTCTGGGTCTCTGTGCTCAGATCACCATCCAGCTGAAAGACGTGACGTCGATGACCAAGGAGAAGACCGCCAAGCTCATCCCCAACGCCATCCAGATCAACACTGAGAACGAGAAGGTATCCTTGGTTCTGACCCGGCCGGTTCTGACCCGGCTGGTTCTGACCCGGTTCTGACCCGGTCGTCTGCAGACAGGCTCTGTTCTCACGTGTCTCTCCTCTCTGCCGCAGCATTTCTTCACGTCATTCGGGGCGAGGGAGCGCAGCTTCATGATGATTTTCCGCCTGTGGCAGAACGCGCTGCTGGACAAGGTGAGCCCCCCTCCCCCACCTGTTACTGCAGCAGGAAGGAGCTGTGCAGCCAGAACCAGCGGCCCAAAAAGACGGGTTAGATCGCTGTCAGGAAGTAAACCGGAGGGCGGAGAGTTTTACATGTTACCATGACGACAGCATCAGAGCTTGGTTCTGACCCCAGAGGAGGTTCAGGTCGTTTCCATCTGTTCCTCACTGATTGGGCACTGAGTTATCGGAGCAGAAAGAGGCAGAGATCAGAACCAGCTGGAGGTTCTGATGGGAGGATCCAGACGGCCTGAAACGGGCTGCAGCGATGGGATCCTCCAGCTCAGAACCAGCCGCTGCTGATTGGATGTGATGTTCTTGGGGGCGGGGGGTCGTTGGTTCTGATCCGTCACGGTTTGCTGCTCAGAAGCCTTCCTGAATAGAAGCTGGATGTGTTCTAGTCCCTCAGCAGGAGGTTCTGGTTCTCCTGGTCCGGTTTCATGTCTGTGTTTGTCTCCAGTCTCTGTCCCCCAAAGAGCTGTGGCACATCGTGCACCAGTGTTACGGCACCGAGCTGGGCCTGACCAGCGAAGACGACGACTACGTCTCCCCCACCAGCGAGCACATGAACGGCCTGCTGTGAGTGACTGAGGCTAAGCATGGTGGGGGGCAGCTGTGCTGGAGGGGAACCTGTTCCTCTCCTGCCAGCCGCCGTTCCTCAAAAGCAAAGCGTGTTCTGCAGCATTTCTATGCAAATATCTGGGTCAGGGCAGAAGTTTGCATAGAGGAACCCAGTTCTACCGTCTGACTGCTTCTCTTCCTGTTGCAGACCTGGAGACGAGTCGGTGTCTGTCACTGACCTGTTGGACCTGAGCACCGTGTCGGCCCCGTCTGCCGGCAGCTCCCCCCCTTCTGCCTCGGTCCACTGCGGGCTGACCAGCCCGGCGTCGGCCCCCGTCCTCAGCGGGACCTTCCTGCCCTCCTCTGCTTCCTGTCCGCCCATAGAGGTTCCCTCCTCCTCAGGAAGCAGGCTGGGCTCCGAGCCGCTGGAGCCCAGCCCCCCCAGCTCCCACGGCTCGCTGCCCACCATCAGCCCCTCCGTCAGCGCCTCGGTCTCTGCAGCTGCGTCCTTCGTGAGTATCCTCAGCATCCATCGGCATAAAGACGGGAAACTGCTGCCAGTTACTCTGATAGAGGAGGAGGAGCCGTTAGCTGCTGACGGTTCGATGAAAGAACAAACGGTTTAACTCCTCCTAACTCTGTCCAGGAATTTCAGTTTAAAGATCTTTTTTAAGTTCGATGTTTATTCTGATCTTCTGCAGCTTCCTGTTTTCTAGCTGAACAAAGACTTCTGGAAGTCAAATTTCTATGATCAAATTAAAATATAGAATCTCTTGGGTTTGTTTTCTCCTAAAGACGTTGCTTTTCCTCGTGACATCACGCCAAAATGGTTTATCTAATTAATCTTGTCTCTCACCTCTTTCTACAAACTAACAGTTTTTTTCTGAATCTCGAGTAAAAAAAATGTTTTTTTTGCTCCATTCATCCAATTTCCTGAAATCTTAGGAAAAAACTGCAAAATATATTAGATATAAGCAGATAGATATAAACTGACGGCTCTGTAGAAATAGAGATTTAATCTAATTTAATGTCATTTAAAATGTTTTTATTTAGATAAATCGCTCTGATCCTCTGTCTCTATCAGACCCTAGACGAAGGAGGGGACAGTCAGTCCGAGTCGGCCAATCCTATGCCGCCGCCGCCAGCAGCTGCCAGTCTGGGAAACCTCTCCTCATTGGACATCACCAACGACGAAGAGCTGCCCACTGACCCCAGCAACTCGTCCGACACGCAGGAGGAGAGTAAGTATCTGCAGGAGAGGATGATGATGGTGTTTAATCCTGTATCTTCATCAGTAAATAAATGGATGATGAAACCGTTCATTTGTTGGAGGCGTTGGTGAGAACCTGCCGCTCAGACCTGCTCCTCATCGCTGCTCCTCATCGCTGCTCTGATGCGTCTAAAGCTGCTTTCATTGTCACGTCTTTATTGGAGGTCGGCCTGGAGGCTCCAGGGAGTCCATGTTTCCTTAGATAAGAAAATCTTGCGTCTGTCGGACGCTAAAGTCCTCGTCTGCACTTACGGTTCCAGTACAACCATCAGACTGCAGAGTTTCTATGTCTGAAGAGCAGCTGCAGCAGGTTTCAGACTGAAGGAATGAAGACGGGTCGTTAATCAGAACGGAGCGACTGCTGGACGCTGCAGCTCAGCGCCTGCAGCGGACTCCTGCTGACTAACGCCGTCTCTATGGACTTAAAGTCGTAGGGAACTAATATTTAATGTCAAATCATTCTGGCTTAAACATGAATATAAATGTTCTCTTTATCAGACCAGATTGTCCCAAAATTTAGAACGTTTGTTTTTTCCGTTATCTTCTGCAGGCCAGTTAGTTCTACGTCAGCCTGAACACCTAAATTCATCCAATCATATATCAGCGCTCATCTGTCAATCAAATGTTTCCGGTCATAGCATCTTGATCCAAATGTCGCAGCTAATATACGCAACAGTTGAAATCATATTCACTTTATTCACTCGTGTAAAGTCGTGAACCACTGAGGAGAATTCAGAGATGCGACGTCGGATCGGCGGCTTCCCTCCGACTTTATTATCAACCAATGCTTGAAGGCCGATGATGCGGACCCACGCCGCCGCTCAGAACGCAGCAGACTTCCTGCTCTCAGGGATGAAAAAAGCCTCAACCTCAAACCGTTTAAAGAGCAACGCTCAGTTCAAGTTCATCACGTAAAAAACAGCTTTGTTAGGGTCAGAGTTCATGCAGAACATGATGAGTCTGAAGTTAATGAGTCATAGAAGCAGAATGACTCCTTGTTTCTAAAGATTCAGCTTAATTAAGCTTTAATCCCGGTTTAACCGGCTGATTGGACTTTAAACGCTCCCTCTCTGCGTCGCTGCTGCTTTTCCCCGTTTTTCCAAACTCAGCAGTGATGGTTTGGTTCTGCCTGGATGAACCGGGCCTAAAGGTCGACCCGAGGAGAGCCGATGATTAACCGGACACCTGGTCTGCTGAGCTTGTTAGGGAAGCCGGGTTTGGTGCAGATGGGGAAACATCTGGAAAGCTGATGAGGAAAGTTCTGGACCTTTTCCACGGTGAGCCGGCCGGCAGAGTAGAACCGGACCTGGGATCAGAACCTGCTATAAATACTCTGGAAACATTTGGTTCTGCTTCAGAACCGGATGTTTTTCCACGGCCCTCAGAGCCACGCGTTTACGTCACTGACCACCCCCCCCTCCCACTGGGAGCCTGGAACTGGCACCAGTCTGTGACCTTCATGGTTTAACCGAGTCGGTACCAAACGTGATTTATTCTACGCTGCAAAAGACCAGAAATAAACTCTAGTTTCTTAGATTTGCATCCAGTTTTATTACCAGAAGTCTGCTTCAGAATCAGAGAAAGTTTAACTGGATGATCAATGATTCTCTAAAGATTAAAGCTTCTTTAACGCGTTGCCATGGAGACATTTCATCTATCAGTGGGTTTTGCTAACATGCTAACCATCTAGAGAGACAGGAAACATGTGGCTCATTTCCTGCATCGCTGTAGATCTACATCGGCCAGATTTCCTTCGATGGTTATCTCAACCTTCAGCTGTCTTTGAACGCATCCAGAGGGCCGATGCTAGTGATGCTGAATGAGGGGCCCTAGATGGGGCCCTAGATGGGGCCCTGTGGCGCAGCGAACATGGCGGACACGTTACAGGCTGTTTATCACTGCAGATGTTTAGGAACCTTCCAGAAAGCGTTGATCTTCGTCAGGCTGTCACCGTCGGGCGGCCTGAGGCTGACGGTTCCTCCTCTCATCGCTCTAAAGATGAACTGGAGGTTCTGTTTAACGCTGAGCCGCTTTGATTAACGATCAGCTGATCAGCTTCTTCTGACGCTCTGCTGAGGGGCGGAGCCTGGTTCTCATCATGCTAACTGATATCAATCCTCAACCATGTTTAATGCTATGATGCTACTACAGGTGATGTTAAATTGCTACAGAAACGGGAATAAATAACCCAAATATCAGACGGTCTGATGATAATTCTGGGTTCAGACGCTACGTATCAATGATTGGTCTTTCTAGGCGCCGTAGGGCCATCCAGCTAACTGCTCTGTTCTGTGTCATAGCTTCAGGTGAGGTGGAGGCGTTCTGCGCCGACCTGAGCGGGCGCCTCAACATCAACACGGTGGTGAGGATGAGCGTGGACAAGCTGCACGACCTGCTGTTCTCCGCAGACACTCACTTCATCCAGCACCTCTTCTCTCAGAGACACTTCACCGGTACGCAGCCCGTCTTCCTCCTCGTCTCCATGGCGATGGTTCGTGTCAGCCGTCTCTGCAGGACTTGTGTGAGCTTGTCTCTGCGGAGGACGGCTGCAGGTTTTTCCTGTCGAGGCGGTGTCCCTGGGAGCGTTTTGTTTTTGTTCTTGGCTGAGCTGACGCCTCCTGGTGCGTCTTTGAGGCTCAGCGCTGGTTCTGCTGGTGGAACGGCGGATCCTCCCAGTTCAATGCGGATACTCCCAGTTCAATGCTGCTCCTTCATCTGGTCATTTCCATGAGTGTCAGACGGGTTTCTCCTCTGGAGCTCACTGCTGCTGCCAGCAGAGGCAGGAAAACCTCTGAGGTCAGAAGGTCGTCTCCTGAAGACCATCAACCCTCAGAGACGACGTCCCTCCTGAGAGGAGGACGTCTCTGTCAGCTGATGGTCCAGGAGGAGCCCTACCTCAGAGTCTACAGGTCAAAGGTCACGACCCTGAACCCGTCTGGAAGGAGGAAACCTCTTCTCTCTAGAACCAAGATGGCAGCAGGACAACGAGCTGCTTCTGGATGAAAAACCAGACTTCTGGGACAGAGGAGGTGGAGGTGATGGACCCGGACCCGGGAGGCAGAACCTCAGCGGTACTGTGGACCATGACCTCCCTCCTCCAGTCAAGCATCTGCCCACCAGCCTGCTCACGGACAGACCATAAATAACTACAGATCTATAAAAGACCAGATCGAAAAGAGAAGAATCCAAGTGTTGAAGTGGCCTAGTCCAATTCTATTCAGTTTATTTCTATAGCTCCGATTCACATCATGAATAGAATTGGACTAGGCCACTTCAACACTTGGATTCTTCTCTTTTCCATCTGCTCTTTTATAGATCTGTGGTTATTCACAGTCTGTCGTGAGCAGGCTGGTGGGCAGATGCTTGACTGGAGGAGGGAGGTCATGGTCCACAGTACCGCTGACGTTCTGCCTCCCGGGTCCGGGTCCATCACCTCCGCCTCCTCTGTCCCAGAAGTCTGGTTTTTCATCCAGAAGCAGCTCGTTGTCCTGCTGCCATCTTGGTTCTAG